TCTTTCTCGCTGCCCCTCCACTTTACCAAGCATGATGTCCTTCTCCAGGGACGGGTCTCTCCCGACAAAATGTCCAAAGTGTGACAAAGTCTTGCCATCCTCCCTCTAAGGAGCACTCTGTCTGTACTTCTTCCAAGACAGACCTGTTTGTCCCTTTAGCAGTCCATGCCACCTTTAATATTTTTCTCCAGCACCACAATTCAAATGCATCAATTCTTCTATGGTCCTCCTTATTCAATGTCCAACTTTCACATGCACAGGAGGCGATGGAGAATACCAAAGCTTGGGTCAGGCACACTTTAGTCTTCAAAGTAACAGCCTTGCTCTTCGATCCTCTAAAGAGGTCTTGTGCAGCAGATTGACCTAATGCAAGGCTTCTTTTGATCTCTCGACTGCTGCTTCCATGAGCATTGATGGTAGGCATTGATCCAAGTAAGACAAAATCCTTGCCAACTTCAACCTTCTCTCCATTTGTCCTGTTGGTCCAGTTGTGAGGATGTTACATGACAGTGTCTTCCTTACATTAAGTTGTAATCCATACTGAAGGTTGCAATGCTTGAACTTCACCAGCAAGGGCTTCAGCTTGTCGTGCGTTGCTGTGATGCTAGAAGCTGTCACTGGCATTTCATATGCCAGCGGGGTCACCCAAAATGAACAGGTTTCAGCAAAGCTTCCAGACTAGGAACAGACAACAAAGAAGAACTCCCCACTTTGGAGGAAGAAGCTGCTGAAAACTTACCTCAATTCTGTGCCTGGTCGTTTCTTACTCGGAAGTGACTGGTTTTAGCACATGCCAACCTCATTTGGCACCCCAATGCATAGCGCACTGCACCCCTACGGCTCCTTAGCCAACCGTAAAAAACAAACAAAACACGACCATCGAGTCAATTCTGTCTCCTAGTGACCCGGTAGGACAGGGGAGAACTAGCCCTGTGGGTTTCTGAGTCTAAATCTTTAAGGAGTAAAATAACCTCATCTTTCTCCTGAGGAGTGGCTTGTGATTTCTAACTACTGACTTTTGCAGTTAGCAGCCCAATGGGTAATTCAATTCCTTAGACATCCTGTAGGATTGCGTAAAACTGCTTTCTAGGGTTTGTAAAACTACATCTTTATGGGAGTAGAAAGCCTCATCTTTCTCCCGAGGAGCAGCTGGTAAGTTAGAACTGCCAGCCTTGTGGTTAGCAACCCAGCACTTAAACCACCACCCTACCAGGGCTCCTTTCCACAGGTGTGAACTCCCTGCCATTGAGTCCATTTCCGACTCACAGGAACCGTGTGGGACCGGGTCGAACCGCTCTGTGGGTTTCTGAGGCTGTAACTTTATGGGAGTAGAAAGCCCCACCTGTCCCCCTAGGTATAGAGGTTGGGATTTACAACACATTCCTGATAAAAGTAGAGAGCCAGCCAAAAAGAGGAAGGCCCTAAAGGACGAGATGAATTGGCAAAGTCGCGGCAACCATCAGCGCAAACCTGAGAACAGGTGTGAGGACGATGCAGGGCTGGGCAGTGGCTCACTGTTGTACGTAAAGTGAGTCAGAACTCAGGAGACAGCCCCTACCACCACCACCACCACCTGGGCACGGGCACACTTCAGTTCATTTCAGAGCTGCAGTGTCCTCAGCTGTAAAATGGGATAGGGGAGTCACGAGGCTTTAAGAACACTCTGTGTCCAAAGGGCCTGTCCCATTCAAGTTCCTCACCCACAGCAGCGCCGCTCCACAGTGGCACCCACACACCCCGTGCCTATGGCGCCACTGGGCAGTTCCACGAGCCAAAAGTGGGTGATCAAGATTGAACGTGCCTCTCTGCCTCCCAAATATATGTCACCGTGGCCTGGCCGGGATTCTGCCATCCATCCATGCGGTGATCTGATGTAATTAAACTTAGCTCTATATCAATGGAGCCCTGGGGGCACTGACACATGCGCATGGGACTGCGAACCAAAAAGTTGGTGGTTCAAACCCCCCAGCTGCTCCTGAGGAGAAAGATGAGGCTCTGTTCATCCGGAAAAACGTACAGCCTCAAAATCAACCCAATGAGGCAGAATCAACTGGATGGCAGTGGGTTGGGATTTTTTGTTTTCAGGATGTTGAGAGGCACGATTCCAGGATTCATGTTAATGGGGTCGGATACCATCTCCAGGACTCCGTTGTCTCTGGAGTCAGAGATGTGGAGGACACCCCCAAGAAGAGCCAGGAGTGGAGGACATCCTTCAGATCTGAGACCCCTGCACTGGGAACCTCCTAGACTTCCAGGGAGCATTGATGACAAGGACCTTCCTTCCCCAGAGCTTCCAGAGACACAAAGCCTTTCCCTGCTGCTGGCGCCCTGAAATCAGACATCTGCCCTCAGCTGGGAGAAAGCCAGTTTGTGTTCCTAGACCCTGTGGGCTTGTGGCACACTTCTACGGCAGCAGTAGGTCGAGATGATGGTGGGTGGCCAGGATACCCGCGTCCAATGTCACCCAGCCATACACAGTCGTGGACACAGTCACGCTGGAGCCCACCAACCCCCCAAGACACAACCTGCTTGCCCCGTCTTAGTTACCCAGGGAGGCCGTAACCTCAAGACCAAA